GTGTGTGTGCTTTCGATAAACACAAATACGCACATCATGTGATTCATAATTGCGCACTTATAGAAGCATGCACATAAATACGCGTTTGTTCCTTATATGAAATTCTTCCAGGCTTGCCAAGCTCGAAATGACGCATGCGCACAACAATCGACACACCTGCAGACATTCTCTGAATATACGCCCTCAAATACGCCTGCGCACGTCGACGTGCCCATAGACACCATTTGGTCATATATCATTCATAGATTTTAATTGCCAATTCGCAAGGGATTATGGGACAGAAATTATTCTGTTTAGTTCCTTCATGTTCCCCATTGTTTTCCCGCCTCTCGCTATTATTAGAAATATAATTCTTTTTTTCTTTATTTTTATGCATCCTCATCCATAGCTTTTGTTAGTGCTGTTAAAGTAAATTTCATAATGTATAATGTCATTTCAGTTTTTTTTGTTTCTTTTTTCATTATCCTTTCTGATAATTTTTCTATGAAAACTATGTTCTTTTCTGATAATGGAATTTTTTAAAACAATCAGTGATACCCAGCGTACCGCGTTATTGTTTCTAAGTACCTCATTTAGTCTCTTAGTACCTCATTTTGTCTCTAATTACTTCATTTTGCCAATAAATACATAATTTTGTTTTTAAGAAATTTATTTTATTTCTCCGTAGCTTATTTTGTATGTGTTTACCGCGTTATTATTTCTAAGATGCTCATTTTAATTCTTAGTGCGTCAATTCGTCTCTTAGTACCTCATTTTGTCTCTAAGTACTTTATTTTGCTAATGAGAATATCATTTTGTTGTTAAGACCATCATTTTGTTTCTCGATAGGTTAATTTGTATGTAATTTCCGCGTTTTGTTTCTAATATGCTCATTTTATTTCTAAGTACGTTATTTTGTCTCTTAGTATCTCATTTTCTCTTTACTTCATTTTGCTAATAAGAACCTATTTTTTTCTAAATGTCTGATTTTGTTTCTAAGTACTTCCTTTTCTTGCTGAACGTCTCCTTTAATTTCTGTGTACTTCATTTTGTCTATGATTAACAGTGATTCGAACCGTAATCGTCAGTTTTATAGTATATATTTGCATACCTGTTCTCCACGAAAAAATTGACCTTCATTGATATTTGTAACAGAAAAAAACAGCAAATTAAGCCTACAAGATAAAGAAAAAGAAGCAAGAGAATTGAAGAGAAAGAAAGAAAGAATAATTCTTTAATATTTCCTATATTTAGCATATAGCGAAGTAAACAAAATACATTTATTTATTTGAAATCTGTTATTTTCAAAACGAACAAGAAAATAACATTGAAAAAGAAGAAAAGACGCCGAGAAGAAGAAGAATGAAAAATGGAAGGAATGAAAGAATATATCGATAAAATAATATAAAAGATTATGAAAATAAAGTAAACGGATTGCGAAAAGAAAGAAGAATGAGTGAATGGAGGATGGAAGAAAGAAAGGAATGCACAGAAGATAACGAAGAGACATCGAAATCTGTTGAGAGAATGGTAACAGAAAGAAGGAATGAAAATAGGAAAAGAAGAAAGTATATTTTATTCAAAGAAGAGAGTTCATCGCAGTATTTTATATATTACCTGAGAATGCGTTAATTATTAAACGAATATAAAAAATATCGGTGAAAGGCAAAAAAAATAAAAAATAAAAGGAAATCGGAAAGAAAAACAAGGAATGAAAGATAGAAAGAGAGAATGAAATGAGATATAAAAAATATGTAAAATGTAATAAAAAGAAAGAAAACGGGTCCTGAAAAGAAGGAATGGATGAATGAATGAAAGAAAAAAAAGAAGGAAAGCAGAATAGGAGGAAGGAGAGGATAAAAATAAGAATAGATACATTGAAAAGTATTAAGAAAAATATAACGAAAAGAAAGAAGAAAAAATATGGAAGAAAGAAAAAAAGAAAGAAAGAAAGAAAGCTGGTTATAAAAAGGGTAAAAAGATAATGAAAAAAAAAACAACAACAAAAGGAGCGAAAGAAAGGAAAAGTTGAATTGGTAGAAAAAACATTAGAAAATAGAACGAAGGGAAAAATTGAAGGGATTTCAAAAAGAAAAAAAAAAGAAAGTAATCAATGAAAATAAATGGAAATATAAAACAGGGGAAAATATCAAACTCAAGAATGAATGAATGAAAGAAATAATGAAAATCCAAAGAAATACCAAAAACCTGTCAAGCATATAAAATGAAAGAGAACCACCACCACCACCACCAAAAAAAAAAAAAAAATCATGAGAGAAATGCATGTTCTAAATGAAAATGACGTGACTTTAAAATAATAAAAAAAACAAGAATAATGAATGAAAAACACAGACTTAAATATAATAAGAACAACGACAAAAAGCAAAATATCGCGAAACTTCAACGAAGAATCGCAAAGAGCAAAAGCAGAGATTAAATTTGACAAAATCCCCGAAAGAAGAGTCGGCAGAGCGGGAACAAAGCTGGCCTGGCATGATTGACCCCTTGAGGGCAGGTGGACAGAGGAGAAGGCAGACGGAGGGATTTTGCAACATGGAGGGTGTAGGATAGACGACGGGGTGAATAAAAAGAGAAAATTGCACCTCGGAAGAGATGATATGAGTGGCACCAACACCTGCGCGGCTCGACACCGTCATGCCCAAGACACAAAAATGGCATCATGGGCAGCGGCAGTAACAAGAAGCAGTAAGATCCGAAAGTTAACAACGACTTTTCAGATAGAGCGTAAATAAGAAAAGGCCAACGCAATCAAAGACAAAGGAACTGGATATTAGCATTTACAGTAGAAACAGAATGATAAACACATATAACTAAATCAAACAAAAAATATTCAGAGATAAACAACAATAAAATAATGTTTTTTCACACTAAACTTGAAAAACACTGTGAGTGAATTAATTCCTTAAATATCTATTTTTGTGGGCCTGACTCAATATATATATATATATATATATATATATATATATATATATATATATATATAAAGTGAACATAAGTCAGCACTTAGAGGCGACAGTTGTTTCATGCTAGATGCAATCGTCAAGCCTGGCGATTGCATCTAGCATGAAACAGACTGTCGCCTCTAAGTGTAGACTTCTATGTTCACTTTTATATTTACACACGCTCTATCTCTGATATTGAGCACTTTATCCCATAAATATAGCACATCTTAAGACAACATTTCTTCATATATATATATATATATATATATATATATATATATATATATATAGAAAGCGAAAGAATAGACGGATTATGAATCCACAGTTCTTAGCATTTCCTTTTTTTTAAAAAGTACTCAACGTAGAGGAATTTATTATTATGATGTTTTTATTATAATATTTATTTTTGTAGGTTTGTTCGAATATATATATATATATATATATATATATATATATATATATATATATATATATATATATATTGATAACAGAAGCCATTGATTTATAACAACGGCTTCCCATACTTTTCGGGTGTTCATGTGTGACGTCAGGAGCTGAGGTGCGATATTCGCTTCCGCGTCTCGTATACACGATTTTGTCGTTGCTTGGAAATCTTTCATGCAACAAAAACCAGACTATCATTATTGTTTTGTCCGTGTACTGTTTAATATATTGAAATGTAATTGTCATCTTTGATAATGGTTTATGTAAGCCGAAAGCTTAGATAGTATTAAAAAAAAAATATGTATTAATATAGTGATTTTCTTTCGTCTTTCAACGATAATGTTATTAAGCTTATCAGACAATATGAAAGGAATTTACTTAAATTAAATAGACAAAACTTGTCTATATTATTTAATGAAACATGCATCAATGAATATATATATATATATATATATATATATATATATATATATATATATGATGGACTCTCCAGTTGTTTTCGACGTAATAGCGTCTTTCAGTTCAGTTTTTTTATGTTTATGTTTCGTATGGGACAACAATCCTGCACGGGTTTTACAAACAACTCGAGGACATGCTGAAGGATTGACTGTCACATGGGCTGATATATTAGCCTGAGATTTAGTGTTGGTTCTTAATTCTCTCAGATTGTTGAGACGATTCTTTTCAAAGTTATATATATATATATATATATTGCTCTTACAGCATTTCACCATTCCTGACTGAACTTCCATTATTTTTATTTAAGTGATATCAAGGAAAATAATCTAAATTAAATCGGCTAGATTAAAAAAAAAAAAGAAAATTTAAATTCCCAGCATCCCTCGTTCGTGCGCATGTGTAATCGGACCAACATAACAAATTTTCTCCGATGAGGCGTCCAAGAAGACGTTTTCCACTTTGTCATACATCCTCCTCCTCATATATATATATATATATATATATATATATATATATATATATATATATATATATATACACACTGGACTCGACGTATGAGGTTCAAGTAGCTACCAAACTGCCTGATTATAGTGCTGACGGCTTATGTAAAACCGACCAAATATTTGGAAAAGACGAATACAGATAGCTGGTGTACACTATCCTACAAGTTTCCCTCTGCAGGTTTTGAATTCAGAATTGTCTTTCTCCTAGACCGTTTGACAACCAAGGCTATAGGACCGAGTCTGTCCTGCTATTTACCCATAGAAGGGGAAAAAGACGGATTCATATCCTTGCAAAATGTATTAGCACTGGAATTCGAACTCGGCTAAAGAGTTAACTAAACAATAACAAAATGTTCGTCTACGAAACTCTAGAATCGCGGTGCTGAGTATTAATCAGTTAAGTGGCAAATTCTCACGCAAACCCCACACAACTAGTATGTGTGTATGTATGTACATATATATGTGTGTATGTATGTATGTGTGTGTGTGTATGCTGATTCCTTGTAACTTGGGAAGTATATGTACATGTGTGTACGTATGGATGTATGTGTGTGTAAGTACTGATTCCTTGTAATAGGACGGTATGTGTATGTAGAGAGAAAGTGCGCGTATACATGCGCATGCTGATGTATATATGCATATATTGGCAAAAACAACGGGCAAACACGCGAACACTACACAGCGTAAGAAGTGTGTGCGTATGTTTGTGTGTGTGTGTATATGTGTGTGTGTATATGTGTGTATGTGTACAAATGTGTTTACTAATTCCTCGTAATAAGACAGTGTGTATGTATGGAGAGGGAATATATATATATATATATATATATATATATATATATATATATATATACGCATGCTGACAAAAACACAAGAAAATGGAAATAGATCTAAGAACACACAAGGGTCATTAAAAGATAAGTATGCCGATAACTCCTTCACCATTTTTCGGACCAATCTTAATCGTTTTATATCTCTTCACGCAAAACTTTTCATTGCCTGTTCAAGAAAGACATTTGGGTCACTAAAACACAAGAGAATGACTCATATCGAAAATATTTAACATCGAGAAGCATAAGAAAAAATTAATTATTTTTAATAATATGTGGAAATTTCCACGCTTTGCCTGGTGAAGGTGTCGAGACCGGAAACCCGGGCAGCAAAATAATAGAAAATAAAACATAATATTTTTTTTTTAAATCCACATAACAACCTAAAACGTTTGCGGTTTCTCACTTCTTTTTACATATATATATATATATATATATATATATATATATATATATATATATATATATATATATATGAATAGTTTGCAAGAAAATGTACACACACTTGAGGAAAGGAAAAAAGTTATTTTTTGTAGTTTTATCAAATTGCAATAGCACTGTTTAATGTGGTACGATATTTTCCCGACAGATGGCATTGCCTCCACGGCTGTAGCATCATCAAGACCTAAAGGATGTTGTGTATCACAGAAAACCAACTACATTGACGTCCCTTAGAGAAGAAATTGAAAACGCATGTGCAACAATTCCACTGGACTCTTTGGCCAACGTTGCCCAAGCAGTAGTTCGCCGCACTAATAAATGACTGGAGGCTAAAGGCCACCATTTTGAGCATCTGTTGTAATTGTAGAGTCTAAAGATAACCTGTATTAATCACGTGATGTTAGAATAAATTTATTATTACAATATCTATTCAAATTTTTCCTTTCCTGAAATGTGTATACATTTTTAGGCGGACTCTCTCTCTCTCCCTCTCTCTCTCTCTCTCTCTCTCTCTATATATATATATATATATATATATATATATATGCATAGAGATTTACTATATAATATATTTTATCTATGATCGTTATTTTATTATTATATTAAAGCTCTGTCAATGACATTGAGCTCTCGGTTTGTTTTATAAATTTAAGCTTTTTTCCTAAAAGCGTGCATATTAATACATATAAATAAAACACACTGGTTGTTAGTTTCCAATAGGGCGTGGTAAACTAATACATAAAACACTTTGGTGTTCTATATTATAAAATATAGATCACCGAAGTGTACATAAAAACATATATATATATATATATATATATATATATATGGGAAACAATCTGTCTGTGGATGACTATATATGCTCCCGGAAATCCAGTTGAGCTCTCTAAGGAAAGAGTTTGTTTTTTAAAAAAAAAAAAACAAACAGCGGCTTCTACTGCTATTAAGCATTACTCTTCAAGTATGAATTGAGTTCTCCGAGCCGCTGGCGTATTTTGTGTAGAGAAAAATGATAAAATTCCTTCCGTTCCACCGTGCGACGATGGCCTAGAGGTAAGATATCTAATGTCAAACCAATCGATGAAACAATCAAGCCACACTGAGGAGCTGTGATCCAGCGAAACAGCCTGTCTGTGAATGATTATATATTTATATATGCTACCAAATAATGAACTTACTCTTTAAATGACTATAAATGCAGTGTTTATTGACGTCATGAGCTGCGGTGCGATTTTCGCTTCCAGCGTCTTGTATGCACGAGTTTGTCGTTGTAAACAGAAACAGACTATCATCACATTGTTGTCCGTGTATTGCTTAATATATTGTAATGTAATTGTCATCTTTGATAATGCCGAAAGCCCGACGATTGTGTCTAGCATGAAACAGTCTGTCACCTCTGAGTGTTGACTTCAATGTTCACTTTCATATATATATATATATATATATATATATATATTACTACTGCTAGGAAAGTAGGTTCACCCTGTCGTGTTAGATAATTTTCAGAATCTATCTTACACATTTATCAGTCTACCATTCATTCATGCATAAAACATTGCTACCATATCTGGTCGGTGCACCTGTTATATATCTTGAGATTCTCTACAAAATCCAAAGAAGGGTTTGTTATGTTATTCGTCTTGACCTGGCACCTCTACCTTCGCCACTTTCCCGTTGCCGAGACTTGCCTTTACTAAAATATTTTCATGGCATTGTTCTGATGAGCTTTCCCTGTTGATAGATCAAGTGCAGGAATTTAAGTGTACTACTTGATTGGCAACTAGGTTTCGCCGTTTTACTGTTGAAGTAGTTAGTTGGAACCGTAAGTTCTGTTTCAATATTTTCTTCCCTTGCACATCTCGCCTGTGGAACTTTCTTCTGGTTTCTTTAAAAATTTAAGTGTAACCCCAATCGCCATTTTCTGTCTTCTGTTCTTTTATTGTAATTTCTCCTCACTTCTTCTCACCAAAATCTTATTCTTTTTCACTCTACTCTATCAACCGTATCTGCGCCAAATATTCACGACACAATATTAGCCAATCGGCAAATCTTAGCCAAATGACATGAGAGATATTCAAGAAACGAGCTGTGTTTATAATTCATGAGCAGCTGTTAGCCAAGTGGGTGCTAAAATATCTGAAAACCGACCAAAAAGGATATTGAGTGGACACTTCCAACTTGCTTTTCGGCGATCTACTGATAATTGTTTAGAAGCTGTCGTTATTGATGAAACAGTATTATACCTCTATGAAGCGGATACCAAACAATTGTTTATACAGTGATGGCATTCGGTTCGCCAGAGCTGGAGAAATTCATAAACACTAAAGTCCGCAAACAAGATGTCCATGGCGACGATTTGTTTGATGAGAAATTTATTTTGATTAATATTTTCAGATAGGCTAAACTAGTGATTATCAACCGCTATATTGCGGCACACTAGAGAGCCGCACGATAATCTTAAGTGTCACGATATACATATATATTTGTGTGTAATCTGAAAGCGCTCAATGAAAATATCGACTGTTATTTTCCGTCACTGAGCATAGAAAAGTATGAATGGATTCGAAACCCCTACGTAATTGTTCCTTTTAATACTTTTAATACAATTATATGAAGAAGAAGAATTGGCCACCATTTGATCGAGTTTTTACAAAAATTAAGTTGCACAAATAGCTGGATAGAAACATTCAAATAAAATAAGTTCAGATTTATGTGTGTATTTTTGTCAAAAATTTCAGTTTTATTTCATAATATTTAAATGTATACAATTTAAAAATTTTGCTAAGTGTGCCATGATATTTTCATTTGCTCCTTGGTGTGGAACAGGGTATAGAAAAGAAGAAAATTCAGAAATTTTAAAATTGAAGTACTTCATAAACTATTATCAAGAGATTTTTAACAATTATGAAAATAATATTTTTAAAATGGTACAGTATTTTTAAATCGACCCGAAAAGACGCTTTACGTCATCAGCTCGGTAATTTGCTATTTTAAATGTCAGTATGAAGCTGACTACAGAGGTAGAACTGGTCAGTGGTTGGAGCTGATAATTAATCTAAATATAGCAGCCAATATTGTTGCATATGGAAACTTTGATATTTTACATAGTTTGTCAATACATCTAGGTCGGTGATATCAGAGCATTTGTTAAATCCCTATCAGTATGCCCGATTCTATAACCTAGACATGTCATAAAGACTATATATATTTTACGTCCTCGCATTCCTCCATCTGTAAGCAAAATGGTGGCTTTTTAGACCTGAATGCTATCGGCCTTAGATTATAATATATTTAATGTGTGAAGTATCCTGTCTTTTTCATGGTTTTTCTATTTTTATACGCTATGCCCATTTTCATTATTCCACAGAACTCTAACGAGAGAGGAATGAAAACCGGTAAAGTGTTAGCTTTTCGGGCTCTTTGTTTACCTTTTTTCGATGACAATTAACTTTATTTGTTATTCTTTCCAGCTGTTTTTGATTCGTCTTTTATTGGGGACTAGCAGGAGAGCCCGGCGTTGCCCGGGGATGTAACAGTAAAAGATAGATCAAGTATCGGCCATCATAAAGACTGAAAAATAAAATTGACCAAGATTATTGTTTAAGGTTGACGGACACGCATGTGTTAATTATTTTTTTTTTTACGAATTGGTCAAACCCAAACTCAAACAAAAACATTATTTTCAATCGTTGAGTCTACCGATTGAATAGAATTTTATTATAAACATTTGTCTTGTAAATGGAATTTCTAAAGCATTCTGAATGTAAAAATAAAGAAAAAAGTGTGTAAGACAATAAGAAACACTACCTGCCAAAAAAAAAGTGAAGTCATGTTGAAATCTGTTGAAAAATGTAGGAAATCCCATCCCATATATAAACGAACACACACACACACACAACCTGGGTTTTATAATAAGTATAACTCGATATGAGTTGTCCCCCTTTCATTTTCGCGATGTCTCTTAATCGTGTTTTCAAATTGATTTCGTGCAAAAACAATTGTGTTTTTCCAATTTTTGGCGCTGTCAGAACCACCACAAGGTAATTTTATGCAGTCCTGTGAAGTTTTGTTGAAATCGGTTGAAAAATGTAGGAAATCCGATCCAATATATAAACGTACAGACACACACACACACACACACATTCTGCGTTTTATAATAAGTATGATAATTAAAAAACGCGAAAATAATACATTAAAAATTTAGTCAAGCATGCTTTCCGATTCCTCCTAAGGGGAAAAAAAATAACAGGAAAATCCATGAATTACTACTACTGGCTTATATCATGTTGAAACATCGGCTGTCTTACGATCACTGAAGTTAAGCAACGTTGAGTCTGGTCAATACCTACATGGGTGATCGCTTGGGAATACCAGGTGCTGTAAGCTTTGATGTGTGGGTGGTGCAATGAATAACGACTCGGAATTGGAAATCGAAGCATCGAGTTCTAATTCCAGTCGGGTTCTTTATATCCTCTTACACCTTGGGAAAGGTATGGATCCAACACTTCCCCCCAGCTAAGGACTAATTAGTAGGACTTGTATCGGTACATCATTATTTTTAAAGATAATAATGATTTACTGATTATTTTTCTAGTTTTAAAATAACTAACAAAAGGTTGATAAACCGTAAAAAACTAATCAATTGCTATTAATATTACTACTAATAATAATAAAAATAATAATATGGCAGTGTGATAGTGCGTTACATAGTAAGAAATGGTAGGAATATAACCTAGAATCAATCATAGAAGACCACGAATTCACTATTCTTTGGTATTTTAACATACACCAGGATGGTAAAAAGCTAACAAACCAAGCATGGTGATTAAAACCGACAAACAAAAAGAACTGCGTTCTCATAGGTATGACAGTGTAATGAGATGAAAATATGTCTGTTAAGAAAATAAGTAAATATGAGGATCTTTAGATTGAAAAAATGTGGCATCTTAAAAGCTACTGTGATACCTATAATAATTGGAACACTGGTACGATAAGAAATGGAATAGATGAACATACTGAAAATTCGTGTCAGATCATGCTTAAAAGTGATTACAAAAATTGCATTGTTTGGAACATCTATTTCGGAGAGTCTTATCAATGGAAAGAAAATATGAAAAGTGTTTAGGTTTTCCAAAGAAAATGCGAGCATATTGCGTGTTCCTTTCGCAGTGATATCGTTGGGAAAGTTTGAATTCAACTCTACATCCATCTCTGCAGCTCTTGGTTAAATAGCGGAGTACATATATATACATTACAAAATTTATAACTTAAGTATAACAATAAGTATATATATATATATATATATATATATATATATATATATATATATATATATATATATATATATATATATATATAATTATTTATTTAAAATATGATTCCATCGCTATATAAGAGTTCTCATGTTAACTCTTATGTAGCTATGGAATCATATTTTTAAATAGATAATTATATTTATGCTCTACTTTTGTATCGAGTACTATTTTTTTTTAAAATAATAACAAAAATACTAAAGAACTTTGGATTATTTACCTAACGAGTCCTTTCCTATTTTCTATATATTTTACACACACACACACACACACACACACACACGTGCGCATATATATATATATATATATATATATATATATATATATATATATGTATGTATGTATATAAAATTATTAAGTATATATATATATATATATATATATATATATATATGAGTAACTCATTAAGTTATATACTTTGAAGTCCATCATCTTTTACTATAAGATCAGTTCATATCGTCTATACTTACTGAGTAAGTCCTAAAATGATGAAACAATGAGGGATTCTTAATATATATATATATATATATATATATATATATATATATATGTGTGTGTGTGTGTGTGTGTGTGTGTGTAAAATTTTAGATATAACTAAAAATATATCTGTAAAAGGATAATATGAATTAAGGCAAAAGGAAAACTTATCTTAGCCGACGCGTTTTGTACTCCCATGAAATTTATCAAGTTTGCCTTGATAAAGTCCTCCCCGATGCACACATCCGCACACATAAACACACACACACACACACTCACACACACACACACACACACACATATATATATATATATATATATATATATATATATATATATATATATATATATATGAACTGGGTCGAAATTAGTTAACATCTAATTTCCTTCATGTAATTGTTAAAGAAAAAATAACGCGGTGAATGCTGGACAATTTCCTCCAAGATAATGAAGAAACTTGAAGCAACAGAAATGTGTTTCTACTAAAAAACATGCCAAAGATACAAAGGACCAAATATGTGAGCAACGACTAAGTTTTAGCGAAAATGGAAACAAAAAAAATGTAACTTAATACCAGGAAATGGCAGATGAAATTTCTGGGGCACTTAATAAAGAAGCACGGCTTGGCAAATTAGATACTCACAGGACCGACTGAATGAAAGAAGGACAGAAGAAAGCAGCGGGTAACATACTTGATGGGCTTGAGTAATTGGCTGTCAGAACAGGGTTTAGGAGAAATAACTAAAAGACAAAATTTATTAAGAGTTACAAAGGACAGGAAGTTATGGAGAGCCACATCCTGACATCATACTCTGATGACGATGCTTCATCGGGGAAATCTAACAAAACAGAAAAAAATTCCAAATTGTCACATATATATATATATATATATATAGTAAAGGTAATAAATCCGTTGGTATCTAATCCAAGTGGATCCTAGTAATATAAAATATTAACACTGATCCAAAAAAGAGCTCAATGTATTTATAGTTACAGAGCAAATAATTCATATACAATAAAATCCAAAATCACCTCATATGGGGAATACCCTATAAAATAATAAAAACCTAAGTGTCTATTTCCAAACACGGGTACCCACTATAAAATAACATTCGAATAATAATAATAATAATAATAATAATAATAATAATCATAATTAATTATTATTGTTATTATTGATGTTGTTGTTACTATTATAATTTAGCTCTTGGAAAAATATGTTTCAGTTGAGCACTGTTAAGTGACAAGCTAATTCTATAAACAACAGCCACATGCGCTAATGCAAAGCTCTTCAGTAAAATGAATGAAGCACTCCGGCTTATTGTCATTTATTTACATTCGTAAAAATAATATCGAATGAAAATAGCTTAGTGGTAGAAACTCTGACTGACAATGTCATTCACAGACAGTATATATATATATATATATATATATATATATATATATATATATATATATATATATAAGTATATAATTGGTATATACGGAATGAATTCCAATAACCAACAATTACTATTCTTAAAAGAGTGCACAATACAAAGTAGAGCAGATATAATTATTTTTTTTTAAAAAATTATAACATAAGTATGTTATAAAATCACTACAAAAATAGCCATTATGTTTCAACACACTCTGTGTCTTATCAAGTGATGATGTTGAAAATTTTTAACATCATCACTTGATAAGACACAGAGTATGTTGAAACAAAATGGCTATTTTTGTAGTGATTTTATAACATACTTATGTTATAATTTTTTTTATAAAAAACAATTATATATATATATATATATATAGGTAACAAATCAGTTGGTATATAATCCAAGTGGATCCTAGTAATATAAAATATTAACACTGATCCACAAAAGAGCTCAATGTATTTATAATTACAGAGCAAATAATTCATACACAATAAAATCCCAAATCAGCTATACCGGGGTTGAATAGGACTGATGAATTTCAGCGGTTGAAATAAGCTTATTTCCCATATGACTTGATTTTGGATTTTTTTATTAATATATATATATATATATATATATATATATATATATATATATATATATAGAGAGAGAGAGAGAGAGAGAGAGAGAGAGAGAGAGAGAGAGAGAGGTGCCAGTGTGTAAATTAACAAAAGACTGTAATCTATTCAAATCATTAAAAAAATTAGATGCAACTTATTCAAGCAGGGGTACAGAGACGGTCGTTTAGAATCAAATAACATAAAATCGGCAAATTGAGATTGAATTTCATTTGGGACGGTGTGGGTTCCCTTCACAGTGATATACTCAGCAAAAGGCGTGTATCTTGTCTTTGTCAATTCAACAGATATCTTAATAAAAATAGCTTGTCACTGATATGCCAGATGGTTGATGAGAACAAGAACAGCGAATTGGCCGTTTCGTTAAACAAGCATTATCATATTTAACTTTCCCTCCGTGAATACAAAAGAAGAAAAAACATAATGAAAAGCAGTTTTAACCATTGTCAATCTTACTAAAAATACTTTGTGACATAAGTTATAAACCGTATCAATATAATTTTCGTTTCTTTTCAGGCATTGCCGATGTAGTTGTTCGTGATTATTGGTATAAAACAGGAGTCAGTTAAGTGCCATGCGTGATTCACGCTTAGGCGATAATGTACCTTTTGATACATGATGACAAGGCAGATTTTTATTTTCCTGCAGTAGGTTGCCATTTCTTTCTGCGGTAGACCAGTTGCCATCCAAGGCTATAGAACCAAATCTTCCCTGATATTGACCCCTAGCTGGGAAGAGAAAAAGATTCATACCTTACCCAAGGGTATTAGCACGGAAGTGAATGTAATGAATTCGACTGGAATTCGAACTCGGCTCTCCGATTCCTCAATCCGAGCCACTATCCATAACCAAGTCTTAATTTCAGTTGAAACGACATCGCTTCTATTCTCACTCATATACTCGTGAAATTTATGACTCCACTTCTTGCTTTCTATTTTATAAAGAGCAACCGTGGTTCTCGAATTTCTCACTTGTCGAATAAAATCGGTTTTCGAACAGAAAATTCGAGATGAAAATGCCTCGGTTATCGAACAAAAATAAGTTAAGCCGAACGGAATAATAAATGAATTGAACGCCATGTTGTATACATTCGTGCATTGTGCCGTGCTTTTCTTTTCCAATTTTATCGTACTGTGACTTTTTCTTTACATTGATTCCTATTGGAAAAAATAGTTTCGGTTTACAAACATGTCAGGTTACGTACGACCTTCAGGAACGAATTTAATTTGTGAACCGAGGTTCCAATGTAGTTATTTTTTGTTTTGTTTTTGTTTTTAATCGTTTCACCCACAAGAAAGGCGATAATGCCACTAAGACGTCAGAGGTTACTGGGAATCAGAAAGGGGGAGAAGACTTTAGTGAGAAAAAAAGACAATAAAAAGAAGACAGGATTCCGGAAAAGAGAAAATGGCGTTTGTTGTAACCTAGAAAAGGTTACTGAATGAGGAATAACCAAAACGGAGGTTGGAAATGAAATGGTAATCTTTATAACATCAACAAAATACATTACTCGCCAGTGGCGTGGAGTAGGTTATAATTTTTAAATAGTTTTAATTTTAA